ATGGGTGGTGTGTGCCTATGAGCCCAGCATGGGTGGTGTGTGCCTATAAGCCCAGCATTCAGGACAAAAAAGTGGGAGGAGAAGAAGCTACAGGTCATCAAAGACATCATTGTTGCATAGAGAGTTCGAGGCCAGCCTTCCATGAGACCTTGTCTAAAAAATGAAACAAAGCACTTCCCCACAAAAGACAAACCCCCCCCCAACCCCAAGGAAACCAAAGGAAACCAACCAACCAACCAACCAAGCCAAAAAAAAAAACCCAAAAAACCCAAAAACAAAAAAACCCCAAACCAAATCAACAACAAACCAGAAACAAAAGCAAAAAACAAAACAAAATAAACTTCCAAAAGAATAAAATATCTAAGAATAAACTCAACTTAAATATATTTAATTATATATAATATATACAAATATGTATAATATATGAAATATACGTTTAATTATATATAATATAAAGAACTTCCACAGTTTGACAACACTAGCATCAAAGGTGTGTGAAGACTTGACCAGTATAGAACAGCCGAGGAGCTGTTTCTCAAAGAAGACCAGGCACGCGATGGATAAGGCCAGGCTCCTCACCATCACCAGTAAAGGAAATGGCAATCAAAACCACACTGACGTGTGATGTCATACCCATTTGGATGGCTATTCTACAACCAAGGAAAACAGGAGACAAGTGTTTGTGACTGTGCAGAGACCAGACTCTGGTACATCCTTGTGGGACCATGAACTGTGATCACTGGAGAAGGCAGGCAAAGTCAGGAGGGATTCGGCTGCAGTTCTCAGGCTGGCCTAGAATTTGCAATACAGTAGAAACAAGGGAGTTTTTGCCTCAGCAGAGAAGAAAAGAACCAGGCTCTTGAAGGTTGTCCTTTGACGTCCACATGTAGGCCGTGGCAAGCATGTGCCTATACACACACACACACACACAGGCTCACACACAACAAGCACACACGCATGCGTGTGCATGCACGTTCACAGACACATATACACACCATGTACACACACTCTAATAATAATGACCTAATAGGGGACTGGCACTGTACCTCGGGAGTGAAGGTCATCTCTAGTGTGCATGAGCCCTGGGTTTGATCCCCAACATCTAGAAAGAAAAAGAAGAGGAGGAGGGGGCTGGGAGTGGGAGGAGGAGAGGAGAAAGAAAGTAATGAGCTGCAATGGTGGAGGAAGTGATAGAATAGAAGGAAACCAAAACCAGGAGGAAACAGGAAAACTAAAAGCAGAAATTAATGAAATAGAAAACAGATTCAACTATAAGCTCTAGGAAAGAACAACAAAGCCCAGAGCTGGACTCTTAAACGTAGTTAAAATGAATTTCTTGACAAAAAAAAAAAAAAAAAAAAAAAAAAAAAAACAAGGGAGAGACCATAGACGTGGTAGGTACTTCAAAATCTGATAATTTGGCAGGCAGGATGGCTCAGTGGGTACAGGCGCCAGCTGCCAGGTCTTACGACCTGAGGTTGATCCCTGGGACCCACATGGTGGAGGGAGAGAGCTGACTTTTGCAAGTTGTCTTCTGCCCTCCTCACTTAATGGTGTCCTCATACACATGTGTGCACAGGCTAAGTTAACAAAATGGGATAAAGAGGAACCGTAAAGCTCAACTTAAAGAGGGAAATCTGATAATTCAATGCCAGTACATTTGAAAACAGTTCTTTAGGAAAAAATTTACAAAACAGACTCTCAGTAAGACAGTAAAACAACAACAACAACAACAACAACAACAAACCTTCAAACATCCATCGCATAACCTTGCTGACCAGAAAGTATTACATTAGAAGCTTTAATCCAATGCCCTGAAGCCCTGAAAACCAGGCTAATTTGAACCGAAAGTTTTACATGTGCCTGTCTAATTCTGGATACATAAAACTCTTTTGGTTACTAGATACATGGGTGTCTGGACTCGCCCACAGAGAGGTAATCTCCTGGAGCTGGTTTATCCTTCAAGCCCAAAGGTAGCCGAGCTCAGTGCCATGCAGAGAAACGGCACACGGCTGGGGTCATGAACTTGGTTACAAACACTCAGACCATTAGGAGACAACACAGACAACTGAAAAGGATAATAACCATCACCAAGCTGCACTTTCCCAAAATTGGGCGTCATTACAGCACCCCAAGCTCATCCCTGTGTTTACCCAGTTGCTGTGTTTGAAGCTTGGGGCTTCTTGACCCTTTCTCCTCATGTCAATGGCAAACCCATCCTCCATGCAGAAGACTTCTCCCGCCCCTCGCCTGGTTGACTGTCACCTCCCTGTCTTGGCACTGTGCAGGGATTGAATCCTCTTGCTCCACTGCTCAGAATTCCCCGACACTGGAAATTCATTCTACTCATTCATTTCCCCCTACCTAATACTGGGCTTGCTTGGTGCATGGGTGTCTGGTCTTTTCAGTCCTGAGGGAGTGAATTTTAGATGACTGTAAAGATCACAAAGGAATTCTGAAGAAGAGAAAAGTCTTAGACACTTCTAAAAGGATCTGTGGGTAAGAAGAAACCCACTGGAGCTGTAGGTGAGGGAGAAGCATTTGAAGGAGATTTGGTAGAACAGTGTAAAAGTTTTGTTTTGTTTTTTTAAAGCAGAAAACAGGTGACTTTAGCTCAAAAACAGGTGACTTTAGTTGACTGATCTTTACGTATGATGACGGCAATGGGTTAAATGTAAACTAGATATTTATGTATTTCACCCTAAAAGTGCTGTTTGTGTGCTTCACCCTATTCAGGGTGGCCAGAAAAGTCTTGGAACTTTCTTTCGGGAATATTTATGTCAGGTGGCTTGTTATGCTGACTATTGACCAGGATCTGTATGTATATATACACCCATTTACAGTCAGCTGGTCAGCTACAAGGCCCTGCATCTAGGGGAAACCTAGATCTGGGCTTAGAGCCACAGGCAAGGAAGACTCAGAAAGGGAAGAGAACCAGGCTCCTTAGGAGAGCTAGGGGTTCTGGGTTTCTCCACATCTGATGGGGTGGGTGGTCTCAGCAGGGAGAGGGCCAGAACTATGGGGCTTTGCATTTGTTTTTGATCTCTAACTCCTGTGACCCCTGCAGATCTCAGAGATTTTCTTTGTTTCCATCTACACCTGTGAGTTTCTCATGAAGGTCTATGTGGACCCTATTAACTATTGGAAGGACGGCTATAACCTCCTGGATATGATCATTCTCATTATCATCACAATCCCCTATATCCTCCACAAAATCAAGGGAGATCATTCCTTGTACCTCCACTTTGCTGACGGCGTCCAGTCTTTACGAGTCCTCAAGCTCATCTCCTACAGCAGGGGCATCAGGGTGAGTGCCGGTGTGTGTGTGTGCACATGTGTGTGTGCCCCCGAGTGTGGGAGAGCATGCGTTTGCATGTGTTATGGGAAACTCTCTAAGAATTAATGACTCGAGTGTTACCTTCCTGTTAATTTGACTGTGTGACTGGTTAAACTTGACCAATATCATCTCAGTCTTGAAACTGATAAGAAACGTATGATTAGGTTCATTCTAAAGATGAATGAACTGAGGTACAAGTTTACTCAGCAACTAAATGTCAAGGCTGGGGTTTAGAGAGATGATACAGCAGTTGAGCGCATAGATGCTCTTACAGGGGGCCCAGGTTCAGTTCCCAGAACTCACATGGCGCCTCCTAACCTTCTGTAACTCCAGTTCTAGGGCCCTCCTCTGATCTCCACGGACACCGGGCATATACGCAGTGCACATACGTACATACAGGCAAAAACAAAAACAAAAAAAAAAAACTTGAATACAATGTCAGGCTGAGATCTGAAAGCTGTATCTGGTTGTACGGGCCAACCTGAGTCTTTCTTTTACCCACAGTGTAGTCGCTGTCTTTCTTATGGAGCAGATTACTGTGAGCTGTGTGCCAAGACTTGCTAGTGTTTGGGTAGCTTTGACCACTGGCTGCCATTTCTTTTTTAATGGGCAAAGTCTCACTTTGGTAAGGCCACTCTGAAGGTGCCATTCCCACCATCTTCCTGAGTTGCGGAGACCGTGGGACATTCTTCAGAACATTTCAGAACAGGCAGGGTGTGCTTGGGCCCTAAATGTGAGCTCTCTCCCTGGCATACACCCACAGACACACACTCCTTACACCCATGTTATCAGATACCTGTGTATGTACATGTATGTGCCCAGGTCTCTCACTTCTCCAGTTCTAGGCCTGTTCCTGTTCCTACTTCCTTGTTCCTCGCTATGGCTTACTTTCTCCCCCCACCCCAACCCCTTTCTCTCAAATGACTAGCTTCTCCGAGGTTGCTGGCAGCCTCTTGTTACCCCTTTGTGGCCTTTTGCCTCAGTTTCGCCAGGCTGCCTTCTCAATGTGGATTTTCCTGGCCGGGCCATTGCTTGGTTTTGTTGGGATTACATTTGTTCTCTCGCTATCTCCTCCCTGGGTGATCTTTTCTATTTTCTAGGATTCTGACCTACAGAAAGTTTCATCCCTTCCCCAGACATGTGTGTGTCTAACCTACAAGCTCACCACTCTTTCCTCACACTTACACTTAAATCTCTGGGCCCCAGTTCTTCCTCCAGCCTTTTGGTTGCTGGTTGAGGTGTGTATCCCCCCAATTCCATTCAGTTGCCAAGTCAACTTAAACTCTTAAAGCTTGTTGCATGATGTGATTGATGGTTTGCATATGCTTGGTCCAGGGAGTGGCACTATGAGAAGGTGTGGCCCTGTTGGAGTGGGTGTGGCCTTGTTGGAGTGGGTGTGGCCTTGTTGGA